ATCAGATACCCCTTAGCCACTATTGTATGTATTCCTCTGCTGTCCCTTTCCCTAACATAAACACTCTTCAGTCTCTACAACAAAACAGTCTAGGGCATCGAAGAACTTTATAGAAATACAATAGCAATAAAATCCAAGATTGCACTGACCACACAACACTTAAACCTTACAGATACTTACTATTTTACATACATTTTAAGGGAAACAAATTAAGATTTTTGTTTTGTTTTCAGGGACCTAGGTTTAATAGAATTTGAAGACACGTTTGTCTAGCTGTCTACATTCCCAATGGCCAAAATTAATCCAGGATTCCATGTTATAAAGCTTAAATACATCTAAAAGTTTCTTCTTGTCCTTTATAAACTGTTAGTTCTAGCACTTTTAACAAATTATTTCTTAACTTGCCTGCAGAAGGGTCTCATTGCCCAGTTTGGAGGCAGTTGACACTTTCAAACCCTGACAGCAGTCTCTTTTCATACTGAAAAACAATCCTGGATTGAATGTTTATACATGGTATTGGCTAGCAAATATTTCTATTCCTTTCCCTCCCTATTCTAGAGACCTTTATTAGCCTGTTAACTGACTGGGGGCCACTCTTTCTAGAAAGCTCTAGTGACAAACACTGCACGCCCCTTCCATTCTAGCAGAGCTTGCTTTTACCCAGTAGCAACTGTGGCTTGCCATCTTTTTTTTACATTGCTCTAAAAGGGTAGTAAACGCCAACAAGGAAAAATCTTCAGGAGCATCAAACGTTCCTGGACTCTGTAACCCTAGGAGTTACAAAGGACTATAGACACACTTAAAGTCAACATGATTCCATGAAAACAAAGTACTGTCTATGGAACATACAACTGTCTTACACAGCAAAGGAGGCAGATGGAGTCAAGGCTAAGAGAAAGAGGATAGGAGATACATGTGCAAAGATGAAGTCAAGAAATGCAGCTGCTAGACTGAGACAAGGAAACTCTATATCCCCTAGAGCTGCAGAAACAGACTTGTTGATACCATTTCCATTCTAATATCCAAATCTCAAGCCTAATGAGATCCACCTCAAGACTTCTGGTCCAGAGAGCTGAAAACTGTGGCTGTAATCTTAAGATAAGGCACTGCAGGAACAAAATCAAAGACAATGAAAGAATCCAACCATTTACTAAATCAACTCAATAGGGCAGCAGAGGCCTTTCCCACAGGGCATTTGAGACCTACAAGCAATAGACTACACTATGGGTGGGCAAAGCGCACTGTAGGCAAGCCAAGGCCACCACCTACATTCTCCCCTCCTCACCAAACACCTGATCTGAACTCCTGGAACCCAGTTGTAGAGAGGGAGGAGTGATGAGCAAAGGGGTCAAGACCATACTGGGGAAACCCACAGAAACAGCTGACCTGAACAAGGGTGAAGTTCATGGTCCCCAACTTGACAATTGGGAAACCAGGCCCCCTGAACACAGGTGTCAGTTACAAGGCCTGGACAACCTATGGAGCCTCTGGTAGTGGAACAGTATTTATCCCATGGGATAAATGGATTTTGGTAGTCCATTCCCCATAGATAATCTCTCAGCCCAGATACATAGGAGAGGGCCTAGGCCCTGCCCCAAATGATGTGACAGGGTTACTTTTCAGTGCCCCATGGAAGGCCTCACCCTCCCTGGGGAGCAGAAAGGAGGTGGGATGGGAGGTTGGGGAGCAGGGGAGAAGGAGCTGTAATTTGCTATGTAAAGTAAGATTGCTTCAAATTGAAATTTTAAAAAAATCTAGAGAAAAATAAAGCCTTGCTCTTCTTGGGAGATGATCTGGTTAAGCATTCAATGTGGGAAAACCTTGGCTTCTTACACTTAACCTGTTAGCCAAGTAGCACACGGTAACTCAGAAGGGCGGTCTTCAAACTGGAGCTTACACATTACAGGGGCAATAAACCATTAAACTACAAAGTTCCAAGAAAATCATTTGCTGTAATTTTGTAATCTGAGAAGGTTCCTTGTTTCTTCATTTTAACTACACACATCACAAAAATTTCCGACATCATTGGCTTTGTCCCTAGGTGCTAGCACCTGTGTTCCTGGTCTGCTTGGAAACCCCATGCAGGAAGACTTGCAGTTAATTAGCACCGACACATGTACCAATGCAGAATACAAGACTGGTGAGCAGAGGGAGAACTTGGGCTGTGGCTGCAGTTTTGGTATAGGGTTTCACATAGCCTACAACTTACCATGTAGCTGTGGCTGCCATCTCCATGCTCAGAAGGAGCAAGAGGCTCAGGTGCCTCAGCCCCACACTGAGGAATGCAGACATGGAGGGCCTGTGGGGTAGTCAAGTTTTAAAGACTGTTTGGTAGGTTGACCATGCTCCAGTGGGTGGCTCCACTGAGCAGTTTAGGGGTAGCACAAAACAGACCAGATCAAGTTGAAGCTACTGGTTTGGATGAATGGTCAGAGCATACTGTACAAACTGCCCTCCCCCACTAAACCAAACACCATGTTCAGGCCCTAATATAGGTTTGAGATTTGAGAAACCAGTTGGGCAGTGAAAGCATGTCTATAATCCCAGCACTTGGGGGCAGGCGAATCAAGGACAACCTGGTCCACACAGATAAACCCCAACACGAAAAAAGGTCCTAAGTCCAACCACTGCAGTATTTTATGGAAGTCATAAGCAGCCTGAGCATTAAATTTGCTAAGGGTTCAAGCTGATTCTCAGTCCCTGAAAACACACTGTCCAAACATTCCCAGTAGTTGACACTGTTTTTCTGGGTCATTAGCACTTATTTCTGCTAAGTTCTACCAATCTTCTGTAGAAACCAACACTCCCACTTGCCAACTTGCCTTCATACAGCTTGCTTTGGTTGATCACATTCTACCCACTCTACTCACTCCCTCAAGCTCTTTGCATTCCAGCAGCACTAACGCACGGGCACATCTACTTTCTTGAAGGTCTGTGAGCTGTACACACCAGGAGAGTGAGGCTTTACATTCTATGCGCTGGGCTCAAGTTTACACATTACCACTGTTGGCTGGAAGCAGGCACACATCCCACCGATAAGAATGAAGGCATCAATGAGGCTTGGAAAAGCACCTCAGATTTCTTCTCCATTTCCAATATGCCAGGTGATAACTTGTCCTGTGGAGATTGATCTAACACACACACTTGAGGAGCTAGGCTGATATGAGCAAGTTCACCATGAGCCCACCTAAAAAGGTAAAGGCAGGGAGCAGAGGATGTGTGCACACACGGTGGTGGTCAAACAGAGCTCTCAAGCTGAAAGAAAACACTAAGTGGACCTTAGAACTTTAGCTACCATTTGAAAACACAGGGGGCAGATTTGAAGTTTGGGGCCAGAGAAACTAGAAAAACAGTACCATGTAAAACACATGTGTACATTTCTGGCATAAAGGCTCAAATCTTTGGAAGTCAGTATTAAATGCAATTTTCAATTACGCTAACTGCTGTTGAGGGCTTAAAAACTGGCCATTACTATCTCGAACTGTAGAAAAAAAAAAGTGCTATACACAAAAAAATTCTACTTTGCAGCTAGCAAATCATCTATAAACCTAAGAAACTGAACACATCCGTGTCACAAAACCTCATCCGTTTACTCTACCTCCATGTAGGCATGGATTGCTTCAAGGTTCCTAAGTGTTCTTATGGTTCATGACTTAGGACAACTCAGCACACGGCCTACATCGGTCTCAACATCATACACAGGAAAACCCAGACAACCCTTTCTCACCCACTGCTCAAGCACTCCAAAGGACATCTGTTAAGTCAACTCACGTGGACAACCCTGCTGTCCCTGCCCCTCCCCACTATGCCTTCTGTTCAGGAACTAAACCAAGACACACACAAGCCTCCATAGAGCCGACTCCTCTGCAAGTCCTAGCTTCTCTAGCTGTTACTAGGGAGGGGGGTCCTCTATCCATACCGTCAGATCCTAAGCAAGGACATGTGGCTCAGCAAGTATGCACATTAACAAACTCAAAACTCACTTTCAATCATGTTCAATACTTTATACAATAATACGTTACAATAAATCTTTCCGCCAAAACCTGCCCGAGCCCTACTGCCACGTAGACTGAGTTCTGCCCACCAAGTTAGGGCCCCAATTTATGCACAGACTAACATTAGGTACAAACGCTACTTGGCCAATGACTAGGATTCTCATCTTATTAGCTCAGTCTTAATTATCCTGTCTATATATTTTATAAGATTTATTAGACGCCTTCCATTGGCGTCCTCCCTCGCTGGTGGATCACATGGCACCGCTGGAGGAAGAGTGGAGGGGAAAAGGGGCCACTCCTGCTTGTCCTTCCTTAAATATGAGTCTCCCTACTATGTCATTTTCTGCCTGGATCATGACTTCTTTACTACATTTCCCAGAATCCTCTTTGACTCCTACTCCCGTCTAACTTGCTGCCTCATTGTCCAAATAGTACTTTATTCAATAATCAATAAGATGAACATACACAGAAGTACACAGAAGTACTATAGTCACATTGCATTTACTTATTTCCATTGCATGAGCAATGGCCTTTATTGGTACCTTGTTTCTAATGTATCTTGACTTTTGGAAATCTATTAATGTAGTAAATCTTCAGTGACACTGCTTAAAAAACATTTTCAATACATTACAATATAACCAGCTTTGCACATGTGGAACATCAGTCCAGTCAAGTTTTTAACTTAGCACACCACTTAAATACATTCTGACATGTATATACATCCTAGTCAGAATGACTTTACATGCCCAGCTAATATCAAAAGTGACTCTCCAAATCATGGTAGGAACCCAAATCAAGGTAGCCCTTCTGGTCTATTTGGAAAGGTGGCCTAATGTGCCTTATCCTTTGGTTTGACTTAAGGGAATATACCACCTTTCCTAATGCTTCTTCTTACCTGTAAAACTAAGACAGAAATACAAACTCCATGCTTAAAGACTGGTTCCCACACCCTCTACAGGGAACACATTCAGGCTACTTGTAGGAAAAAAAAAAAGATACAAGAGCACCAGTGCCACAAGTGAACTTTATTTCAACATACTCATTATGTACATGAAGTTTAAAAGGTAGCATTTATTAGGATTAAATGCACCACTGAACAACACTAAGTTTGTCACCATGCTAGCCCTGTACCTCTGAAGGCTCTGCCCATGTCAGATAATGGGGTGTGTGTGGGGGGGGGACGACGACCCTGAAACCCTGCAGCAATCTTCCATGCCTTAAAATTCACAGGGCACTTTCTGAGCAGATCCTTTATAAATTAGCAATATGATATAAACTGCTTACCCAAACAGAAAAGCCCAGAATTGTGACAAAGCAGACACCTCTATACAAGGTGACGGGGGGCTCACTGGCAGTCATTAAGACACCCAGAATGGACCCTGCCCACTGAGTTTCTCCACTGCTTAGCCTGACTCACCTACTAATGCTCTGAGGACAGACAACCACATAGTGTCAGTTACAGAACAGAAGTCCATATACATACAACAGACTTAGTAACCCTGAATCGTTCTCTCTCCCAGCAGCTGCAGGTTGCACTGTGTCAGGAATTACGTAGCACTGACTCTTCAAACCACGCACAGGGAAGGAAAAGTCCAGCTGGTTGGTTTTCTGTGCTTAGGCTTGCCTGTGAAAACGAACATCTCAAGGGCTTTTAGTGAAATCAACACTTTGTAAAGTCTTAATAGTGCCTCCTTCCTAGTATAGGACAAACTTAAGAACTATTTACATTCAACATACAAGAAAACAGTAAGTCTCCTTTCCTGAAAAAGCCTTCAGGCCTAAGTCACCAACATCAAAGTGTAAAGACCTAATCTGTTTTTAAATTAGAAACAAGACATCAAGTGGTCTCCCCATCTGTTGAAACAAAATTTATAGATCTGCTTGATGTTCTTAGTGTGGAGCCAAACTTTTTAAGTGAAAACTGAAAAGAATCTTGGAAAAAACTCTGCTTTACTGTGAGGCCCATAAGGAAATGTATTTATCACTTTCCTTACTAGAATGAAATCTCAATTCAAGTCAACAACATTCTAAACACAAATGCCATCCAATGACACTAAGAATACACAATTGATAGAACCCCTTTATATAGAAGTACATGAATCATGTTGATATTATTATAGGACTTGCCATGTTAAACAATGTTTAAGTAATCACCTAAAGCAACTTTAATTCACTCCTAAGGTGTAAGAACTCTTAATCATTGTACAATTCTGATGATCCTGAACCTGGTATCTTACAGTCAACTCCACATATGCAAAGTCCTTACCTTGCTGCTCAGGAATCCAAGACTAAGCTTCTTACATTTCTTTTAAAAAGCAGAACACAAGAGACAGCAAACTTAACTTTGGGCGGTCTAAAGCAAAGGCTATGAAAATTTCAAATTAAGACAATCCTTTTTTCAGGGTTATACACTTGCCTAAATACTATCAGCTCTGATCTGGTTTAACGGCTCACCCTTATTCATTTGACTATTCTTAGGTTTCATTCCAATGGCATCTTTTCACACAGCCTGGAACCAACAGTGCTGCCCAATTCTAGACACAGGAACTCTAACTGCAAACATTTTCTGATATGAATTCCAGTGCACCTTGTTCGTCATCTTTGCTTTTTCAGGCAGCACATGCTAACAGTTTGAAGGTCCTACTTACACGGCATGCACACCAGCAACACAGAGCTAACCACCTGTTAGCTGCTGCCACCAATCTCACGCATCAGCAACAGTAGCACCAGAAAAACCTCATCCTAAATGTCACACTTTAATAGAAAAACCCTCTCTACACAGTGATTCAAAGACTAGTTTTGTTAACTCCTGTCAATTGAATAAGGGTTTGAGTAAAATAAACCTGGACCCTCTAGGTTCCAAGTAAGAGTAGGGCACCACTGTAACAACATACCAGAATACCTGTAGGTCTCTAAGCCCACACACAAAAAACCTGTAAACCAGACATGCAAACCCCAAGTGAAATGGTTTAGTAAAACTAAAAACCTAATTTCAATAAAAAAACTTGTGTTACACTAGTGAAAGCAATAAAAGTTACAACGAGTTCGTACACCATAACATTTTTACAATGGAAATCGGCATGGCATCTTCAGCAATATTTAATTTTCACATCTTCTGGTCACAATCCCCACCAAACTCAACAGGCCGGGACAAGTGCAATACCATCGAGAAACACAGCATTGCAACAAATCCCAGCCTGTGTAGAAAGGGGTTTGATTTTCCCTCACTGTTCTACAGACTTTTCACCACCACAGTCAGTTTTGCATGGATTTGCACAGCAGAGTATTATACAGCTGGATGCAAACCTGCAAAACTAACCATAGACCAGTGCTCAGTACCAGGACCGTTTGAGTGGGTGAAGGGCGAGCGGGCAAGCGGGCGAGCGAGGCTGGGGCTCTCCAGCTGGCAGCACTGGAAGTGCTCGTAATGCAGTAGATGAGTGGACACTACCTGCACTATAAGCACTTTAGTGCCACAGAAGCTGTCTGTCACACACACCACGCAGACTCTAATCGACACAACCAAAGCACAGCATTAGTCAAAAAGGAAAAGGAAAACACAACACTTGAAGTTAATAGCAGGCCACCATCAGTTTTGCATAGATTTGCACAACTGCATTCTTCTTGTAGTGCAAGTATGCAAAACTAACAGAGGGCTGCAGACAGAGACCATTAAGAGACCCCTACACGCTTGCTCGACTCCATTAGGTGACGACATAACTTCTTATGCCAGAAGGAGCACTTAGGGCAGTAGATGCTAGTCTACTTCACTATCTGCACTAGATGCACCTTAGAACAAAAAGCACTCAGCACCAGCAGGCGGCCCTCGCTGTCACTCCGCGCCCACCGTGGCTCCCGAGCGAGGCGGCTGTCACCATAATGCCACAAGTGCCTGCACTGCAGTAGATGTGCATATCACTACCTGCACTGTAAGCACTTTGACATTATCCTGACTCCATCAGTCTCCAGTCTCACAAGGTGACGCGCTCTGCATTCCTGCTAAATTTGAAATAAATAATTAGAACAGCAGCCCAAAGCCCTAGCACCTGTGACAAACACAAATTTCAGCTTACACCCAACGGGAGAAAAGGATCTAAAAGCAACAAGTTCAGAACTGTACAGATTTAAGCCTTAAGAATAGCATTCTTCAAAGTTATAAGCAATCCCTATTAGAATGTGGGCTCTTTCCCAAATCCACACATTAAGGGGCACACAAAAATCGTACACACACAAATGAGGCCCACCAGCTGGGGGTTTGAGTGTCGTCAGTACCTTGCGAGGAAGCCCAGATGCAGGCAGCAGCTCCTTTTCTTCCTCCAAATTGGCAGACACTTGACAAAACGATTAATACGATTACTGTTTACTCATTTATTAGTTATACAAGGTAAAAAGTTAAGTTTTAGGCACCACCCCACATTAGATGTACCTATTAATCCAACTTAAAAAGGCCTGCAACTACTTTGAAAACAGTTTCCAAAACTCACTTCAAACTCTAGCTCAACCATATTAATTTTTTGTAGAAATCTGACAAAATCCCAATGCATTTATTCCACGCTTAAAAACTCTAAGAGAAAAGTAAAAACTATTGTCTTTGTAAGAAGTTCACTACAAAATTAGAATTTACTTACCCACGCAGGCAAACTTCCTTCTCAGCCAGTATCGTTGGGCAAAGCTTCGGGTGCTGCTAGGTCCACG